GTATATAACATAGATGAAAGCGGAACTTTCTAGACGATAAAAGAAAAAAAAGATATTAAAGTTAATTACCAAACTCCAATAATAAGCAGGAAACGTACCATGCACATTTATAGAGACCACTATGAGATCCAGGAAACTTAAAAAAAAATATTTTTTTTTTACTTGTACAATAGACACTGAACATGGGGAAGTATCAGAAATTTGATATAGCTGTGGAACGTACAAGCTCGACATACGTTACACGTAACTGATTGGAAATGGCCCTAGAGACATTCGCGATTCAAGGATCCAATCCTTTGTTCGATCAAATACGAAGTATTAGCAATTGTACTTATATATATATATATACTATAATTGTTATGTTTATCTCTTACAACAGACACCGTAGTGACTAAGTACAACACCAGAAGGTTCTTAGACTAACCACAATGGTGTTGATTAAACACCTGAAACTGTGCCACTGAAGCATGGTAGAAAACAGTTGATGAAACACACATGCCATATTAAAAACCTCGTTTTTCGTACAATTTAGTCGTGAAAAAAAAAACAAGAACAAAAAAAATTACTGATGTATAGGGTAACTGAAAGTAAATTATAATTATTGCACACATTTTATACGGTACGAGTCCAATGCTATCTTATTATCATAAGCTATACAAAGAAACAAGTCAGTCAATTTCTATTATCTTGTCATTGCTTCACAACTGTTAGTGGATATGAAATTCGGCGTTTTTTTAAGAGGAAGCAATTACTTCTAAATCTTTCTGTGTTATTTAATGTTTTTGTATCATATATGCGTTTCTTCACAATGCAACTTCTAGTTTTTAAGAAATCGGTAAGGTGAAGTTAAATCAGGCCAGTTTTTTATTGGGTAATACATTTTTAAGCTTCAAGACTCATTATGAGCAACGATTTTCATGAAACGTTTCAGCAACATTTATCGAACTCTTCCTTCGAAATGGGTCACTTTCATTTAAATAGAGAGAGATAGAGATGGAATATGTCATTTAATAACAACATCAAACTAATCCGTGTTTATAAAAATGTTAGATAACAGAAAAACAATCTGAACTACATGCTACCTGATACACAAATAGTATGAACTATTCGCTATTTACAAAAGAACTAAATTATACAGAAATAATCAAAACTAGCCTGCGATTACAAATATGCTAGATGATACAGAATCAACAATGAACTAGCCTGCGATTACAAATATGTTAGATGATACAGAATCAACAATGAACTAGCCTGCGATTACAAATATGTTAGATGATACAGAATCAACAATGAACTAGCCTGCGATTACAAATATGTTAGATGATACAGAATCAACAATGAACTAGCCTGCGATTACAAATATGCTAGAATTACAAATATGCTAGATGATACAGAATCAATCCTGACTAGCCTGCGATTACAAATATGCTAGATGATACAGAATCAACCCGAACTAGCCTGCGATCATAAATATGCTAGATGATACAGAATCAATCCTGACTAGCCTGCGATAACAAATATGCTAGATGATACAGAATCAACCCGAACTAGCCTGCGATCATAAATATACTAGATGATACAGAATCAACCCGAACTAGCCTGCGATAACAAATATGCTAGATGATACAGAATCAACCCGAACTAGCCTGCGATAATAAATATGCTAGATGATACAGAATCAACCCGAACTAGCCTGCGATCATAAATATGCTAGATGATACAGAATCAACTTGAATGGTACTACTTTTTTCGTGGTGTACACGTTTTTCAGTAAATCTGCATTTACTGAGAAGCTTATTTTGTTATTTATATAACAAATCATTCTCTTAAGTACCATTTCACCAACAAAGGAAAACCAGCGCGCGAATTTATACAGGAAACGGTAACTAAGGCACGTGCGGGTGGGAAAGCGTTGCAAGAAAATAAGGTAACTGATAATTACTGTGTTAAAGCAGTAACGGACGTACTACCGGACCGGAAACAATTTAGAGATTAGATGTAGCTACTGTACACGCAACAGACAAAAAACAAAACAAAAAAAACCCAACAATATGGAATTATTAAAGCTTTCATTTTTTTTATTGTACAATTTAATACAGTAGACATTCATCAAAGGCTTGATTTCACAACTGGTCTTCTTGAAAAGCGTAAAACTGCGAAATATAAAGAATTCCCACGATGACGATAATCATAATTATGTATATATTTGTAGATTTACAACGTGGTGTAATAGCTACACTTAGCAGCGTATTAAAATACAAGTCATTTATCTATTTGAAAAATGTTATGGAAGTATTGATAAACTTAATACCAAAATCACAGTCAATGTTTTTTTGAAGTCAGCTGATATTGGTTTACTTTCATTAAAAATTCACCAACATTTTTACTGCACCATACAATATCATGACATTACTTGCCATTTAAAATAGTCTGTTCTTTTCCATGACTTATCTTTGGAGACCGTCAACTACTTCAATTAATCTTGTTTTAATGTCATACTTCTATGAAATTATTAGTATATAAACAGAATGACATAAGTCAGGTTTTATACGGGGTGAGACAAAACGTACTATACAGTAATTACTATGTGGTCGGTGTAGTTGGTACTGTTATAAAGGCGGTTGAAACCAATTTAATCAGATCATTTCAGAGCAATAGTTGTAAATTCAACTATGTTCTAAATTAAACAACTGTACAGTCACTTTTGCTCTACTCTGTACATACATACACACACACACATGCAGCACAATCTCATATACATACATGTTGAGGTTTGTATATATATATATATATACATGTATATAGTTTGGTTTGAATTTTGCGCAAAGCTACACGAGGGCTATCTGCGCTAACCGTCCCTAATTTAGCACCGATAGATTAGAGGGAAGGCAACTAGTCAACACCATCCACCGCCAACTCTTGGGCTACTCTTTTACCAACGAATAACAGGATTGCCAGTCACATTATAACGATTCCACGGCTGAAAGGGCGAGCATGTTCGGTGTCGGGGATTTGAACCCACGACCCGCAGATTGCCAGTTGATCGTTCCAATCACGAGGGCTATGCCAGACCATACCTATAAATAAGTACTGACAAAAACCAATGTTCATCGTATACAAGTATTCATCCATTTATTACCGTATGAGATATGATACGCCCCCCAGTATCTCAGCGGTAAGTCTGAAGACATATAACGCTAAACACAGATAGCTTATTGTGTAGTTTTGCACTTAGCAACAAACAAACAAGACATGATACACATTCGCAACAAAGTTTCCTACGTATGTACCAAATGCATAATAAACTCCAGTCGTATGTTAAATATATACCAACAATGAGCAAACAAATAAATAACATAAACCCAACAATGATAATACATGTATCAAACACATGAGAAACTTGAATATATGTAACCAGTCAAATATCAAAAGTTTAAAAAACTAATCAAGGATGTATGAAAGATATACAAATCATATAACAAATACATATCGAGAATGAACAGTCAAATGTTTTACGTAAAACCAATAATGACTGTTCAACGATCAAAAATATACTAACAATGACTAGTCATATATTAACAATGTCTACTCATATCTCAAATACAACAACAGTGACCTGTTGAATACACAACATAAAATCAACAATGACTAGTCATATATTAACAATGTCTACTCATATCTCAAATACAACAACAGTGACCTGTTGAATACACAACATAAAATCAACAATGACTAACCATATACTGTATATGTGTGTGTGTATATATACATACATACTAAGAATTAATAACAGATCAAACATGTACCAATAATAATTAAATCATGTGTTATTACATATGAAAAGTCAGTATTATAGTATTTTATACATATCAGTAATTACTATCCATGGATGAACAGTTTATGAGTGCTTTTTTTGTATCTTACGCTCCCTCTGGCGAGATCTACCGGAGTATAAAACACACATATATATATTATAAAGCTTTAGAACCATATGTTAAAAATAAACCACTAATGAGTCAGAAGCTGGCTCTAACAAGCTTGAAAGGGGCACTTAGTGACCTGAAAATTAGGTTATGTCATCAGTCTCCCCAAATGATTATATAAACAATTGTTTATGTTCAGCTATATCCTGTCTTTATCAAAAAGTCCGTCTGATGGATTTGAAATTAATTTCAATAATGAATTCAAACAGTTCTTTAATTTTATGTAAATACTCTGACGAGAATTCCGTGACTTCAAAGCAAAGTATTAGCATTAACAAGTACATCGTTTGAGTCCGATTGTAATGGCATTTCAGTAAACGTTATAATTACTTACCATCAACCGAGATTTGTTAAACGAGCAACACTCGGAAACTTTTTATTTGTGTAACCAACACATGTTTAACAAATATCAATGGACGTTGTAGAATTCGTACTTGGTACACAACTGTTAATATGATTTAATGAAGATTAATGTGGACCGTGTTTTACAAATATCAATGGCTGTTGTAGAATTCGTACTTGGTACATAACTGTTAATATGATTTATTGAAGATTAATGTAGACCGTGTTTTACAAATATCAATGGACGTTGTAGAATTCGTACTTGGTACATAACTGTTAATATGATTTATTGAAGATTAATGTGGATCTTGTTTAACAAATATCAATGGACGTTGTAGAATTCGTACTTGGTACACAACTGTTAATATGATTTAATGAAGATTAATGTGGACCTTGTTTAACAAATATCAATGGCTGTTGTAGAGTTCTTACTGGTACACAACGGTTAATGAGTATGATGTTAACGTTGTTCGTAGCACGTTTGGCAAAACAGTACAATCTTAAGGAAACACGTTGTGTAGGTTAACAAATGGCTTAACTAAATTTAAAGCCTCATTTCTTCTGTTTATAAACCTTTGTTTTGTTGAATGATCCGTCTTCCTTTTTTATATTTTTCAGTAAATGAAATAAGAGTAAAACTTATGTCTACAAAATATCTAAATATAATCACGATACCGTTTTAACGCAGCATAATAGATTGGGCCTGGGCTTCCCCAAAACAAGAAGCTGGAGTGGGCATCAACGCTGGCTGTGCTTGCACTTAGTTTTGATTTACCAAACGGAAAGGGCATCAGCGAAGCCATATCTAGCAAATGTGTGAGCATATTTTATTCCACGAACTTTTACACAAACTTAGACATATCATGGTTACTTTACGGTAACATATCAGACGCGATCAACAACACGACACCTCCATATCGCAAGCGAACTCTTCTGAGGCAGCTGCAGCAGTTTCCTGTGTTGTTACACGCGCACACACAGACAAGCTGTCAGACTCACCGACAAAGCACGCTCACCACAAAGCTCTTTTCCCTCCTACGTTGACCGTTATTAGCTAGGTCTAGAGGCGTCTGACGCAGCTAGCGTAGTTGCGTGTTCCACACCCGAAAACACAACGCGTGGGACTAGTTCACCAGAATCGACCTGAAGCAGGTGCTGGACGAGCTAGTAAGGGAATCGTTTGATTGGGTCTTCTAATAAAAAATAATCTGGTTAACTATTGAAAAGTCTCAACTTACAAGTTCATTTAACAACTACAGATTCAATAGAACTTTATTGTTTGCAGTTTTTTTGGTTGTTTATACACCTTTATATAACATCTGTTTCGTATCATTTTCAGGATATTAAATGAGCGCACATGTTGAAGTGCTCACGTGTCTTTCATGTTGGGTGACGTACCGAACATGTTTGGCTTTGGAGTTTCTAAGTAGCCAAAGTATGAGTAAAAATATGATCATCTAGATTTTGCGAACCCTGTTTGAATTTCAGAAGTTTCATCGGACATATAACTTTCCACAGCTTACAAACACGCTTCAGATTCCTATTTTGAAAATGTTCTCAATTTAAAGCCTTTACCTCTTGACATTACGTTTCAAAGGGTGACTTTCCAAATATATTGTACATTTTTATCATACGTGTATCTGATTTCACCATGATAATATTTTATAATGACAATAAAAAAGTTTCTTTGAACTTATTATCCTTTCATAAGAAACAAAGTAGAAAAAAAATTGATTTCTCTTGATATATTATTCGTGACAATGCCATGTGTGTGTTTTTTATTATATCCTCAAATTATTCGTGCTTTATAATAGGGTTCGTCGTTATAGACCTTTTATTATAAGTTTTATTATTGTGTACATTTTTCCTGTTTTTTGTAATTAATATATTTATATACTTCTCTTTTATGTAAAGTATTTGTGTCTTTGTTCTATGTGTGATACACGTTTGACTGTACTTTGATTATGAGACCCCCAGTGGAGGATCTTTTAATAGAAAGAAAGAAAAAAAATGTAGGAGTCGACTCACAGTTACGAGCTAGGATAAAATATTTTGATAATCACAAGAAGAACACCATACAACAAATGAGCGTTCAGTGTGTTAGCACTCCCAGTTTGAAATGTATGTGCTTATTTCATTTTGCTACATAGATCATTTGGATTCACAAGTAACCCCTCCATGACGTTGTTTTGTCATGCTTTTTCATCTTATCATACAAAGTCACTTGCCAAAGTTTCTTGTATGAAAATACGTATATGAGTACATTGATACACATTCCAATGATTAAAGACATCGTTGAGTTTCATTATAGGTCATAAATATAAGACGATCTTTTTTTTTTCCTTTCTCGGTTTCACAGGATCTTTTATTTTAACATAACTTCCTCGGAGTTATCTTTCAACAATAACTAGATGAGTAACGTGAGACGTGGGCGGATAAGTACTCGAAAACCCCTAAAACTATCTAACTGGTTTTTATTATAGATGCTAAATTGTTGAAAGATTAAGAAAAAAGCTCCACCTGGAATCTGGTTACTCTTATTATGGTTTGTTTTTCTTACAGAAGTAAAGAAGATTTTGAATTTCCTTTAGATTACCATTGTAACGAAGGTCATTAACACTTGTTTTGATGTCGATTTTTGAAGTACTTTTACAAACCTTAGTCATCTGGTTTTTGATTGTCAAAATTTCGACCAAAATGGATAAGGAAAAACAAATGAGATTCTGTATCAACACATAAAAAACAAATATCGAGTGAAACAATGCTTATATTGAGTCTACGTGTGGGGAAATTGTACATCTATGAACTTACAACGTAAAATTTAGGGTTTGATTTTCCATGGTGACCAGAGTGCAAATAGCAAAAAATATCCCGAACCCGAAGGAAATGATCAAGTTATACCAATTTATTCGCAAATTTTATAAATACCCATATTATAGTAAAGAGAAGAAAATAAACAACAACAGAATCCATCAACATGTTAGACTGACAATTCATACTCATGTAGCAACGTTGTTACCTTTAGCTTATTATTTTTATCAAACATAATCCACGTTTCTGATAGAATTACCTGTAAAGGAATTTTAAAACTGAGAAACCCTAGTATAATAGAGATTTTAAAGATTGAATTTTCTCAATCACTATATTAGAGAAGAACAAATGCAGAAATGGGTATGTTAGTTACGCTACGTTTGATGTAATCATCCAGAACCATAGGTGCAGAAATAAGAAGGCCTACCTCCCAATACAGGGAAGACAGCTCTCACTCCCCTCCCCCACATCCAACCATTACCATCATTTAGAGAGGATTGCAATTTCTCCAGCTTGAATAGAGTTTTTGGTCCAAAATAAGGATCCGCTATAAACATATAAATGCTCTAAAATAAACATGGTAGCTGAAGATAAAGAACGGGAAAGATGAGTTAAATAACATAGGATCGTGAAAGTTGACCATTGCTTATTTTCATGTTTATGTATTTCCCTGATTTAAGTTATGAATATATTAGCCCACACTGTACCGAAATAGGACAAAATTGCCACTTTATTTGCAAACACTTTTCAGGGGACAATGACTCACATTTGTTTGCTACGGTATAGACATTAGAATAGAAAAAAAAAAACATGTGTGAGAAGTGCGTTTGCCAAAGGAAGAAGTAAACTAGTCATTGTCCTTAATAGTCATTGTCCTTAATAAATAATATGAGGCCTATATTTATGGTGCACATCTTGGCCTGGCGATATTTTCGATAACAATAAATTATTCTAAAGATGAGTATAAAGCTATTTTGAGTACGGATTTTGTTTTTCTTCTTTTCGGCTAAAAATTCATGAGAGAGAGTGTTCATCACTACGCCCTCTATGGACGTAAACGCGATCAGAAAAATTGGGTTGCCACGCCTTCTGTCAATAGTTGTTTATACACTCAAAGTTGAAGTATTTCTGGGACTTGCTGATTCTAAGATTCTATGAAAAGCTATCAGTCTGCGATTCAAGAGTTTTTGAGATGACATGCTAAAACAAAAAAACAAAGGGGACCACTTATTTAATCCTTACAGACATTGCAATTCTGAATGTATTCTATGTATCAAAGTATAAAACACATAACGCGTTCTCACATAAAAACTATTTATATTCACCTTATATGCACGCTTGTAACATCTCCCAAGCCACACGTATAGGACGGTTAATAAAAATTCACAGATTATCACAAAAGTATGGAACGGTATCAAGAATAAAAAAAAAATAAATAAACGGCCAGGGGATTTCAAATAAACTGAAGATAAATAACGTATTAAACATATAAATAACACCCTATCAAAGGCACTAGAAACTTGCTTTATAAGTTTTTGTTTTTGGTTTAAAGCAAAGCAAAACCTTATTGGGCTATCTGCAGTGTCCATCGCGGGGAATCTAACCCCAGTTTTTAGCATTGTAAGTTCATAAACTTGCCACTGTCCCATCGGGATACTTATAAAAATTAGCGAACTATATTTGATTACTGGCCTATTTTTTAATTAAATTAGCTCGGTATTCGCTAACCACACAGTATAGATTTTTGGTAGAAGAATCCTAACACAAGGACATATCAGCACCACATGTCTCGTTTTAATAAATAAATACCACTTTATCGGTTGTCCATCGTACTAAAAAACGGACACATACCGAATGAAGGTTATCTCTAAACAGCACTGGAGTTGTAAAGAAAATAGTTGAGAAGTGAAGGTGAGCTCCTGAAATCTACTCACAATCAGGTATTTAACGGTTAGAGTTTCAGTTTTGTTCTTTATGTTAAACAGCACTGGAGTTGTAAAGAAAATAGTTGAGAAGTGAAGGTGAGCTCTTGAAATCTACTCACAATCAGGTATTTAACGGTTAGAGTTTCAGTTTTGTTCTTTATGTTAACAAAGGGACAATATTATCCCTCATTTCACCCTTAATTCAAGTACTACCCGTAAATATGTTTTTTAAAATAAATATATATAATTTTTACAGTGGGAATAACGAAACACGATATATGTCTATACCTCTCGATTAGTTTACAGTGCTCTTCGAACATCTCTATGTATATAAAAAATTATATTGAAAATCTGTTTCTATGTAATCTGCCGTCGAAGAATGAAGATCAGAGCTGTAATAGTGTTGATGAATAGGAGTGGTGGGAATGTATAATATTTAACAGTAATCCCTTCAACATACCAATAGGTAGAATAATCAGAAAATAAAATAGTTAGAAAAATCAAATTATTATACCATTTCACTATCAAACGCTTCACAGTTTTTTGAAAAGACGCAAACTGCGCATGTGACATGAATGGTTTTAAACTACATTTTGTACATAAAGGCACCTAGAGAATGCCGAAGAAATAAATGAGATGAAATATATTAAAAAAGGATACTCGAAGTATTTTTTTTTTTTGTGAAGGGAAAGCCTAAAACAGTTTGAAACTGAAGAGGAAAATATCCTTAAACTTTTTGAGGATTTGTTCAGCGTTGACACTGGAAACTAAACAGTGGTCACCGTTAACTAAGCAACTTCTAGTGGTTCAGAGGTTACGCACGAGACGCCTATTCTTACAGGCTCTATAATAGCATGACGGGAAAACGTTAAGATAAATCATCTCGGAGTCAAGTAACTGGAGAGGATTGATATCTTTCTTGTCTACCCTGAAAGTTCAAGTTTACACTTGGGTTACGAAAAAAAAATCGAAGATCCCAAAAGGATAATGACAAGTATTAATGTTTTTGAAATGTAACCAAAGATAGTTAGCTGATATTAACTTATTCAATAAACGTTTTAATTAAATGTCAAATATTTGTATTTTATGAAGAAAAGCCAGGACAGTAATTATATATCATTACAGAGTCGAAACTATATTACATACCTTTTATAAACTAAACTGACTTTAAAAATCCTTATTTGATAGAGGCTGTATCTTTTGAGATTTACAGTCTAAACCCCTATTTTTACTCTTAGCAGTGTAGGTTTTAGTATTTCAGGAATTCACTACACTTTCATGGAAACATTCCTATATCACAGTGTACTTATAACCTTTTACTTG